TCAGCCGTTCTACTTTCTCGTACTCGTACTTTCACTGCAATACTTGCTTGAAGGCAATGGGCAGGGTGGTTGGGAGCGTGCGGTGGTCGCCTATGTCACTGGTGAAATGGCTAGGTGGGGTGTGACCGAACGCCCTCTTGCAGCCCTTCCACCAATGACGCTGACAATAACCGCACGCCTCCAGCAATCATGTTCGCTGCTTTTAATAGGAATTGTAGCGAAAGTACCGCTAGCAACACGAAATACTCAATAAGGTGACTTGGGACAATAAAGAGTGGAACTAGTGTCCTCTTTAAGCCATGTAGTCGAGGCACGTCTAAATCCGAAACGACGACGAATCCTTCATCCTAACGTGAAAACTGCCTTGAGGACATCCGTCTTAATCGAATGGGCGGAGACAAAAAGCCAGTGCCTTTGTCATTGACACAGCCTTTCATTCGACCATGAGGCAGCAGTTAGGCGGTTCTCCGCCCATGCGATGAGCACGGAATGTGCATCTATCAGATAGGAATATGAGATTCTAATTCGCGACATTATTTTTGTGAATTCGTGGCGCATTCCAGGTTGAACAACTGCTCACCAACCACGTGCTCACAGCAGATCCTCGAACGTTGTTAGCACTGACATTAGTCGCATTTGCTAGTGCAATTCAAGTGGTAAGTGATCGTATTTCCTCAGCCAGAGAAAGAACCCCTTGGCTCCTTTCACTACTAAACTTTCTCTCTAGCAGAGATTCCGCCCCTTTAAGGGTCGAGTGTACGGTTAGATGGCATCTCCTGTTCGAACGCAGAATCTCCCGTAGCCTCCATTTCAGTGTGGTCCTGCCTCTTTGTCGGTCCTTCCATCTGATCCTTGCTGATCGTGTTTGAATATCCCGGGCTCCAAAACCAATGGCCTCTTTGACTGGTGAGCCCTGTGCCTTTCTTGGGATAGGTCACCCACCCTTTCCTGTGAATTTTGAGGGCCGAATTGGCTCACTTTTACCATTTCGCAGCTTCGCAAGAGTTCACAAATCATAACAAAGCGAGATCTGTGGGGAAAAATGAAGCCACAAAATGAACTAGCCAAAGTGTAGTGTCCCCTCCACCCTAAACAGCGCCCTTACTCGTGCCATCGTCTTTGCAGCTCTAGACCTTGGAACTCTTTTGTTAGAGCAGGCCCCTTGAGAACAACTCTGAAATGAACATTATGACTCTAATAGCATGCAGCTAAGCCATACCAGTGGAGAGGTGGTCCAATTCGCTGAGAAAGGTTCTAAGCACCGAATTATTAACACGTTCCGGACCGCGTGACACACATGGTGTGTCATAACATTTTTCTCTCTGCGCCGTTTCAAACGGTCTCCAAAAGTATCAAAACATGTTTTTTTAGGCATAGAATACAAATATCCCATAGAAAAGTATGTGGAGACACTCGCACAACGGCGGTCCAGAATGTGTTAAACAAATAATTTCGCAAAAAAATTTGGAATTATTTTTTGGATTTCTGAAATCTTTTGCAACAAAACATTTGATGCCCCTTAATGTTTTCACATTTAACCCTCTACATTGTTGTGCCAGAAATAAAATCTTTGAAACTGAGCTTAAAGGCACTTTCCGCGATAAAATAAGGCTATGACCTTTCAAATGTGTCAGACGATCCGGAAGGAGATTGCGGAGGCTGCGCTACCTTTAGAAAGTGAAAATCGGCAAGAATTCCGCTTTAAGCTAACCAACTTAGGCCCATTGGCGCCTTCAGGCCATGCCGACCCCAACCGGCTGGCTAGTACACTAGCTACGTAGCCTTGCTATCTCTCTCCATTCCGAATGGTGAGAGTGAGGTGATACGATAAAAGAGCTGATATCTTTATGATAACGACGAGTGGAAATTCGTACAAACATGCGTTTTCTTCATTGCATGCATGTACAAGTTGGGGTCGATACGGTATCCTGGTTTAGGGCATTTTCGGCTGTTTTTCTGCTGCTTTTCTCCGCTAATCAGATACCTAGCCTTTTTCGTTCCTATGTGGGTTCCGTTACCCACAATCTGTGGTCGCGGGTTTTGCCTTTAAGCGAGACGTATGTTGTAAATCTAATAAATGAGAATTATTAGAAAGGCTGTATCAAACCTTTCCCAGGTCTCATTAATTTTCAACCCTTTAGCGCATACATGTTTAGCTCACTACGAATCAATTTCAGGTTATATTCGCGATTATTTGTGTATTTTACGACGGATGTCCATATTACGTCGGAGTTATTATAGGAATTCTCTTATTGCTTAATACTACTGTAATATTTATTTTTTGTAAATGCAGGCCTACACGAGGATGGCTGGTGAGTGATTCCCTATATTTATCATTATTTATTCAGTGTACTAGAAAAATTCTATCCACGTCATTATTATTATTATTATTATTATTATTATTATTATTATTATTATTATTATTATTATTATTATTATTATTATTATTATTATCACAAAACAGGCGGTGGTGTAGTAGTAAATGGCTTAGCTTACAATGCGTTCATAATTTGCATCAGCGTTTTGAGCAACTAGAAAATATAAGCATCGATCGAGCCTCATGAGCGCACCCCAGCGTTTCCAGGATACGCTCAGAACGCTGGATCAATCGATACCTCAATTACGGCGCAGTTTGACGAGGGGGGGGGGCATTTTGCACTTTTGCTACTTCCCATCGACGTGTCGACCTATCTAGACAGCCTCTTCTCGAGTTGACAGGTTTTAACATGATGGCTTGACGACCTTGCTCCAGCTTCACAAGAGTTCACAGGTTTCGCCAGAGTGAGACTTGTAAACCGGAACTAGTGAAGCAACGAAAGTACAAAATGCCCCCCCCCCGTCGGCAAACTGCGCCTCGACTACTTATAAGCTTACAGAAGTCGCTCAAAAAAAGTCCAAATTTTCCAGATAGCCAGTTGTATAGCCGCCTCCATGTCATTTGTACAAAGTGTGTCGTTGTTCTTCTGGACGGCGTATCTCGTCAACAACGAGGACAAGTATCTCGAGCGAATAGGAGCGAATGAGAATCGAATTGTTACCAGCACACGAATCGCAATGTATTCGCTACAGATGATATTCTCACCAATTCATGGTAAGTTACCCGAGGTTGTGCATGAGGGGTGTAGAGCGTTAGTTCCCAGTCGCGGCAGTGGTAGAGACGCAGAGTATTACTAGCTAGTTGACTGGACAAACACAGGATAGAGAGAGCTGATCGACTTGAGAGATGCAGACGCAGAGAAAGTAGAGAGTCGACGCGCCGAAACACGGGAGACGGGCAAGAGAATCGTAATTTGCCGCTCCGCCGCACGCGGCGATGGGCGCGGCGTTTTCTTAACTCGTGTTAACCTGTCGATTGGAGCACCGGACTTCATGTAGACCCCGTCATCGTAGACATCATGACTATTT